GCAATCCCTTCTCCTCCATTCTCCTCTCGGGATCTTGGGCACGCACGCACACGCTCCCGGCGTGAGTTTTAAGCCACCGGGTCCGGGACACGAACCGCGGTCGACTACGTGGGAGTCCAGCGACATAGCCATTACGCTAACTGCTGGTTCCCTTTCTTTCAAATTCTTGAAGTTCAACCGCTTGCTTGTTTGCTGGAGGCTGAATTATCAGTAGGAAATCTTCATTCCCTGAAAAATCTAGTTCACTGGAGCCGTCCGGATCCAGTGCCTTAACCACCATGCCACTTGCTGGCCTAGGACTGAACTCATGATAGCTTCAATCTGTAGTTAGCATCACCATCCATGTGTGTAAGGCCCCCCTCTTATTTTGTGTTCCTTTTAATCCCCAGACCCCATGTTCATTTTGTCCTTCCCAGAGCCAGATTTTCCAATATTTGCTATTTAACCTTGAATTTGTTGGAGTACTTGTAAAATCTAAACTATTGATGGTTTTAATTAATAGAAATGGCAAAATTATATGTATTTCTTTTTGTTTACCTAAGTTTGTCCACATTTCAGTATGTTTTTCTAGTTTGTTGCTTCTGATTGTGATGGTGTGGACATATATCACACTGTCCTTGCCCAGCCTTCCAGCAGCTACAAACAGGACTACCACACATTTCCTAAATACTTTTTTTTTTTTAAGACAGGATATTGCCATGTTGTTATCCTCCTGCCTCTCAGTCAGTATTACATGTGTGGCCATAACACGTGGTTCTTTTTTTTTTTTTCCAGATATTTTTGCCATAAGGCACATGTGCTCACCAGAGAGAGGCAGAGAGTGAGGGAAGGTGATAAGTCACTCCCCTGGAGGAATTGGCCACACTGAAATCCCTTCTAATCCAGTCTCCTCTCAGGATTTGGGACACACACACACACACACACTCAGTGTGGTTTTCAAGCCTCTGGGTCTGGGATTCAAACCATGATTGGCCATGTGGGAATCTAGTGCCTTAACCTCCATGCCACCTGCTGGCCCCATCTGTCTGTATTTTATTTTTTAAACTTATTTATTTACATTCATTCATTGTACCTCATTACAGTATATAAAATAAGACTTTTGTCATCCAGAATACACTGTATAATGGCTCAATCAAGGATATTATACGTGTTATTGTCAACAAATAATTTTTCATTTCTTGTTTCTTTTTTGGGGGAGAGGTTTTTGCTATAGGGTGTGTGCGCTTGCCAGAAAGATAGAGAGAGACAGAGAGATAGATAGTCAGAAATCCCCCCCCCAGGGGGGATGGCCACACCACAATCCCTTCTCCTCCATTCTTCTCTCAGGATCCTGGGCATGCATGCACACACACCCAGCATGAGTTTAAGCCACCGGGTCCAGGACTCGAACCATGGTCGACTCCATGGGAGTTCAGCTACATAGCCATTATGCTAACTGCTGGTCCTTCATTTCTTGTTTCTTACATTTTGCTTTCCCCCACCCCCTTGATTTCCTACTTCTTACCCTCTGCCACTTTCCACCCTCCTCTCATACTGTCTCTGGTATCTACAGTTGGAAACATCATGTGGCTGTTTTTTAGATAGAATCTTTCTGTGTTGCACAGGCCAGCCTCAAGCTGCTGATCTTCTTGTCTTAGCCACCTTGAGCCTCTCTGGGATTAGAGGTACACACTGTTCCACCTGGCCTTTCAGTTGGACCAAGGATTTTTTTTTTT